TGGAATATGAATCAAACTTACAACTATGTTAACTTTAACACTTTTCGTCATCAAACAATCATCAAAATTTATGACATTTCGTCAACAAAATTGAATGTCACAAATTTCTTACAATGTTATAAACTAGCTCAGTACAATTTTTAATTAATTTATATCTTGTCCAAATTTTAAATGCTATTGTGTAATCACTAGCGACAAAGAACTTTGGCGCGCGCGCGCGTATATTTATGTACAAATATACTGTACTTACACGTTTTGCAATAAATAATAAAAATTTATGCACTTTTCATCTTTGATATTTTGACAAAAAATGACGATATCATCGTATGCGCTTGTTGAGTGAGCGAATAAAGGATTGACGCGTCGAGGATAAACGGGCCAGACTAGTTAAAAATTAAGACCGCTTAAATCACAATGACCCATCTGCGTCGTTTCACACCAACGACGCCGCCGATTCGTTCGCAACGATGAAGTCGTCCCCGGCATCCATCTCGGGGAATCGTTGGTGACATCGAAAAGAAAAGCCTCCTCTCTCTTTCTCTCTCGACATTTGAAAGTTCACTTGGCACGAAACGGATGGGAAGGTTCCGTATCCGTACGATCGCCGGTCGATCACCGTCACCGAGGTGAGTTCGCGAGGAAAACGCGCGAGGTTGAAGAGCCGAGGTGCAAAATTCCACCTTGAACGAGACACGGACGGCCACTGGTTTCTAGTTTTGGCTAGCGTTTCTGGTTGCTCCCAGACGTACTGGACGCGGAAACGCGTATTAATAGTCCGACAGAAACGGAATCTGGGTGGTCAGAATGTGCGAAGAGAAGAGACGAGCAGACAGACACCGATGATGGTTGCGGACGGACGTGCAAGATATCTGTAGAGGATCAAGATGGATTTAGCGCCGATTCATTTGCTTCAACAAATGCGCGAATGGTATCGATCACCGCCGAAAAGACTACGGACATGTCGATCGCGTGGCTCGGCAGGCTGTATAAGAATATGTTTATACGTTTATACAAATGATATAAAAATTCAATCCTCGTGCAGACGTGGAATATTGTAGAAATTTGTAGATATACGATATAAAATGGGACGCAATCGCCTCGCTATTATTAAATTACTCCATCAGATTGCCCACACTTTGATGAATCAAATGCAATCCTAGCGTTAGCGAGATAATTGTAGCGGATATCGACAAACGCGCGCGCATGCAAAAAAGCAAATGATGTGTCGATAGTAATTTCAAATCCAATTACAATGAACAATCCACACAGAGCCATTTATCGCTGTGGCTACTCTTTCATGACCAGACAGTTCAATCGCAAAGTGAACATATTGCCTGTCACGGTGACGACATGTATGGACATTTGTAAACAACTCATTCAACGTTCGTCGCCTTACGACGCATTTATTGCATGTTCATTCGTATTCGCCGACTCTATCGCCGACTCTAACAAGCATTCAAAGGGAATCCCATTGCGAGTGAAATCGCCTCTCAATTTCAATTTTTCATTATCCAAGAGTGTCGTCAACGCGCTTGCGTAATAAAATACCCATTTCCTGTGCAAATAAGTGAAAATGGAAATATAATATAGTAACAATGTTATTATCTTTCCGTTGCACAAAAATAAATGTAATAAAACTAATAAACAAATAATATTATGTCAGTGAATTAGCTGCAATTCAAATATTGTATAAGAGTAAATCAACTTGCAAACAAGTCTTAATGCAAATTGATGTAAAATTATACGAATGACAAGACTATCGAACGATGGGAAAGAATTTCTTTCAATGCTCTATAGCCAAAAGACGATCTTGCGAGCTCTAGATCGACGCTCGAGCATAAAATGCAATTTGGCGGATGTCAGGCCGTCGTCGCTCGTGACCATCGTCGCCGTGTCGTTGCTGTTGCTGCTACTACCGACGGCGGCGTAACAAAATTTAATTGGATTTATCGATCGGTTTTCTCATTCCCATTTCCCGCACGTCCCGGCAATTAGACCGGCCAGCATCCCGGTGCAGGTGATCTGTTGACGCTGTTGCACTGATAGCGAACAGCACGAAAATCCACCGACGAGCCGACAATCGGTAATCGGCGTCACAAGCCCCGACGACCGATGATTTTCCATTCGCTTAATCATGGACAACGTGTGCCTATAAAGATTGTGTAAACGTATACCGATAGTCATGCCGATAACTCGAGCTGGCTCATCGAACAACAAGCGATAAGCTTGTCGCTATTACTATCCCGAATCTGCCTAAATTCGTTCACATAGCGACTAAAAATTCGCATTTATCTGAGGCGTACGCGAGTCTTTCGACGGTGATATCAGTACAATGTTACACCTTTCTCATTTTATTACAGTAATATGAAAATGTAAAATTAAACATTAAATTGCCTTTATAAATTGCTTTATGAATTTCGGAATAAATATACACAAAGAAAATAGCGTGTGTTGCAGATGTTATCTCGTATACAATCATGTTTAGGATATGAAACAAAAACCAATAAACGGTTCAAGATAAATATCAGTGCGCATATCAATTCACATCAGGTATAATATCAGGAACTCGAGCAAATATTTCGGAAGGAAATGCAGGGAATATCAAGTTATCGATATGGATGTATCACATGTTTGTAAAAAGTAAACGTAAGCTCGCCGAGGAGGCTGATCACGTTTCAAACATTGTCGTGTTTCTGACAGTTCGAAATTCGAGAGCTGTCACGTGTAGTTTTCGCAACGCGTCTGCTTAGTGGAGATGACGTGCCGTTGAAAGAATCAATAATAATATGATACACGATTATATGTATACTCAATAAATGGAAAATAATATACGCGTGGAAATGAAATTCTGAAAATATAGTCGAAATATTTAAAATATGAAAATAGATTCAATTTAATTTAAATTAAATTATAATTTTGTAATTAAATATAATTACAAGAAACAATAAAATTGAATACATACACATAAAAATATGTATATTTAAAATAAAAAGAATATTATGTGACTTTAGATGCAACACCTCAACTTTCTTTGCCTATAAATATTCTTAAAAATAAAGCATACAGCATAAAACATAAACATAAACTATAATAAAGCGTAACAAATTTTAATATTAAAATTTTTTGATAGATCAGTAAAGACAATTTCATACTTAACATTTGCCAAATACAATTCCTACTATATTCATTAAAGATAAAGAAGAGACAGATGTAATCGATGCGAATAATTTGTTATCATTAGTCGATATAATACCGACTATAGTAATTTGTTACTAGAGCTGCAGAAGATAAGGTAGATCGCTACATACTAACAAAAATTTCATGGTTCTATACATATAAGTTATCGACTGAGGAATCGAAAGATAAGCTGTAAAATAACGATTAATACTTTTTCGGGTCGCTTACCACACTCCGGTTAATTTCATCATTGATTAATTCACTCAACAGAGTTGCCAACATGACACGTAAAATACATTTGACATTAGAAGACAAATATAGAAAATTCAAAAATACTGTTGGTAACATTGATTGTGAGAATTAATCGACGTCGATTACTTTAACTGGAGTTTCGTTGAAATAGGCTGTAGTTAGTTTCGTTAGGTGTTAAAGTTTAATGTTATATTAAACTTAACAAATCTTGTAACTTTAAAAACTCTATTAAATATATTTTTTAATGAAAAAATGAGCGTTATTGAGTATTATTTCACAAATATGGTAGTTACCTAAGAAAGTATAATGGAGGGAGTAGAGAAGAAATCAATTCTATGCAAATTAAAAAGGTGCGGCGAAGAATTACTAAAAGTATCATTATATTCCGATATACGTGCAACTATTCGACCGCAGTACATGCAGGTATTTTGTAGCGGATACACATAAACACGATTCAAAGAATTAATTATTCCAAAACGTGATAAATAGAAATAAGAAATGCTTCATCGTTACAGATCAATTCAATCAGCTTTAATAAATAAAGTAAACTAGGGTACTCTATCTAAAATAATGAAATTTAAAAGTTAAATAATTATATTTCATACAATTATTTGTAATCATTCTTTCAATATATTTAGATCGTCATAAACAATCATTATGTACCTATACAAAAATTACAAACCGATCAAAAGCGTGATTATAAAAAAATACTATTATAGAAATTTTTTATTTTTATGAAATTTTTTATGAAATAGCACAAACTTAATGATTTAACAAGGATGAACACGACTTATCCTAACTGTGAGATGACGTCCATGACGATCATTAGTTTTCTGATGGGGATAACATTAAGACGTTAGTTGCTTCAGGATTTTGCTAATCACCTCCTTATCCACCATCAAGCCTTTGTACTTTGACAACACGGGGAAAAACTCAGTCCCGTCACACGTATCTCGGATGACAAGCGAGTACATTGACTTTTTCCTAGCATCGAGGTTATTATTCTAAAGTTACGTTTTGTCACGTGCTCTCACACACTATAGTGAAATTATGTACACGCTTTTAAGAAAAGAATTGTATCAAACACGTACGTGTTAAATAAGAGATTTAGAAGATGGTAAAACCCAAGAATTATTAGAAATGCAACTCGATATATAACAATTTTTAATGCAAATGTTTTAACTCTTTCGCCATTCCGTGAGCGAAACAATGGAATGGAGGAAACGATGACAGAGATACACAGAAATGGCTATCGTGGTTGGCAAAGCTGCTTATATGGCGACTTAAGCGGTAACCCGTTTCAAGAGAGCAGTCTCCTATCGCACTACTCACATTTACTCACTTCCTAAGAATCTGCCATATTAGGCAAAAAGATGCATATCGATCGGCTTATCGATCATACAGTTAATCACTTTGCAACTCGACATCGCGTTGAACATTGACTTTAAAAGCTAAACTTACTGTTAGCAAAAAAAGTTGCATTCGCTCACGTTTTACCCACCAACAAGATAGTTTCTACAAACACACAAAGCTAAAATCTTTCTTTTCGTGTTCATTGAAAATTCGCTTACCACCGATGTAGTTGTACGGACACCAGGAACCTTCTGTCTCCCGAGACCGGTGAGTCCCCTAAGACATCTTCTGGTGCAGTCGGGATCGTTGTCCTCACAGATGGGACATCCCGCGGTGGAGGCGCCGCCTCGTTCTCTGAGGACATGATTGCTGCTAGTCGTGTAACCTTGATCGGAACTAGCGTTCGAGTTCGGCCTGGAGTCGTCGGAGCTGTCGAATGGCTTAATGTTTCTTGGCCGATGAATGATTCCCACCGGTTCCCATATCTCGCTGGTCGACGACGCGTAACAATTGTTTTCCTTGGTCTCGCGACTTCTCTCGTCAACGACTTTACCGCCACGAGCGACAGTAACTTCTTCCTTCGTCACGACAGACGATTTTACACTTAAGGATGTCTCGAGTCGCACCGGAGCCCTTTAGAACCATGTCAGTTTACAAAATAGCAGTGTGGATCTTGTACCAAGTGTGTATCGAATGAAATATGGAATTATCGCGAATAATAAATCATAGTAAGTTTACGTTAAGATCGATACATTGCCAGTAAAATAATATAGCATCATATTACCGCCCATGGCTACAGTAATAAAGTACAGTTTTCAAGTAACTCAACTCGAGCGCGATAAATAAGAAATTCAAGATAGACAGCAAAATGTACTATCGCAAAAATATATGTGCGTTCGTGACCGAAAAAAAAGAAGAAAATATGGGACATAATATAAAAGGAGCGAAGTCATTATGCACGGTAGGGAGAGATCCACAATGCTACCTTAGAATGCCAGCCTTGACGAGAATCTGGTTGAGAAGATCACACGGTGGGACCTGGCCGGTTATCATGGCTTCTCGTATAGCGACTCCGTCTGGCCCCTCGAGGGGGATCGGCACACCGTTTATCAGCAGGACTTCCTCCTCTCTCACGCAGGACTTTTTCTCGCAGTCCACAACCTTGACACCAGGCCCGAGTATGGACTCCACCGTGGATTGAATCTCGTGGTCATCCATCCCTGAGAACGTACGCTTCTTTCTCGTATTCGCTACTTCTTTTCGTTATTGACATCTCGTGCGAATTGACAGTAATTGAAACTTTATTCATACTATTGTGCTCGCCAACGAATGCTAATTGTTTAGAATCGAAATGAAAAGTCCTTCAATTCTGATTTCGAGAGCAAGTTGGGGAGATTTGGTATGTGTTATGCGGGAACGATAATACCGCTAATCATATACAAATATTATTTTGTTTTACCTGCGGCTTGTGATGGTAGAACAACCACAGGTAGAACCGAGGGAACCTGGCACACGTACGCGCTGCCTTTCGGCCACCTGAACTAACCTAACTTAACTAAACCTGCCCGGAACCGGCGGTGCTATGCACCTGCATCGACTTGTGGGGCGAAGTTGCTCTGAAGTGCTGTGCGGAGATTTTCAAAGTAGTTCGGCAAAAGTTCCCTCGAGTCGATAGCTAACGTAATCCTCGCTTTCGCAGCTGAAGTTCAAATTGAAATAACTTGGCCGATACAGTAATAGTTTTTAAAAGTTTTAGTCAAATCATTAACACACGCCGAACAGTCGCTTCGGCATTACGTGACGCGTTTTATAAAAAAGTAAACTGAAATATGTAGTACCGTAAAGATTAAACCTTATTTATTGAAATCGTTGGCCGAAGCATAATTCGTTAATCCTTATTATAAATGATATATATTACATATTATATAATTTCAATGTTTATTAAATTATTCATAGGTGCAAAGCAACATAAATTTCCCTCCGCACCAACGATATTCAATACTTTTACCCTTTTATCGTGCTACAGAGGCGCGAACAATACTTTTTCGCGTGATCGATAATCAGCTAACGAGCATGCTACGACATAAATCAAAAACTTCGCTGGCAACGTAGGTCATGAACAAAGTGGAGAACGTCGCTGGTCGATGATGCGAGAAATGCATTATTCCAATGCACGGTACGGCGCCGCTTCGCGCGCGCTTGCATAGATAAATGCACCGCTGCATGATTTACATCTCAAGGAGAACGATGTCGGGTCGAGACGAAAGACGAGCACACGGATGAGCGTGCAGAGCTATAAATGCGTTTCTGTTTTGATTCTTAAGTACATTCTTTAAACGAGCGGGACTAGCTAGAAACCCAGAGATGAGGGAGAAGACTCCCTGTCTGGGAGTTCGGAGATGTAAGAGCGGCAGGGTAAACTGCGTCGACGGTTTCGCGATAGACGAGCAAATGTTTGCGATGTAGCGCCAAACGAGCGTCTAGCGACGAGAAATTCTTCACGCTCAAGTGACGACATACGAGATGTCGATCGGGACATTCAATGGCCAATTCTTGTATAAGGATAGAAAATAGTACCAATATCAATAAGAGCCTCTTCTTTAGTGATAAAAAAGTCATTTTAAACATTCACAATATAATACCAGACATATATTAGCAGCACATGTAACATTAATATTTGAACCAAGAAAGTTTTTCGCGCAAAGATGCGAGTACCATCGAGGTCAAGGACAAGGGATCGCCATCAGGAAGTCTGGAGAAAGCAATGGCTATTCGCGGAACTGTTCCCTGTTTTCCCGGTTAGACGCGCGCCCACACGCATAGCGTGTGAATGTACCAGAATATCACAGTTGTACAGTTCCTTATATTCTCGTGTGCTAATACTTGACAGTTAACATCGTAAGTAATTCTCACAAACACGCACTATTCAAGTTTATTAATTATACATTATTGGGAAATGCATGAGTTGTCGTAGATTGTTGTTGCTAAAAACGATCTACTTTCGTCTTATTTCGTGTCTTATTTTATGTATAATAAACGATAAAGCTACGTTTCTAAAAACAAAAATGTATCAAATAACAGTGAGAAATAGTGATAATTAAATAAATCCAATTTTAAAATAATTTAGATTATTACAGAAAATTTTAAACTTTATAATGTATACCATACGCATACGGAATTCTACATTTACTAACTGAAACAATTATCACATCTGAAATGCAGCAACTTCTAATCACACGTAAACTAGACGTTTTGATTACGTCAACTAATTAATAAAACACGGCTTTGTGCGTGTATTACAAATGTCGGTTTAATGGCAACAATCGTGTCTATTTTCTGTCCCGTCGTATCAACGAGAAAATAATGTGGCAGGTACGATCGAAGATTGCAATGCACTTGGTCATTTCAGAGAACTTGAAGAACTTTGAGAGCTATTCGCGAAGACGTCGCGTCGTCTCTACATCACATTGGGATGTCTAAATGTGGACGTGAATACATATAGAGAGATTCTAAACCGAGGATATAACCTGACTATTTCTACTCGAGAATACAGTCCGAATACGATGCAGATTTAATACTGACAACTATTAATACGTTGTGTAGAAAGTACTTCCCCTATATTTAACCTCAATATAATTTTCATCAAAGAAATATGTACAAAAATAATTCAAGAACATCTCAAATCAACATAAATATAAAGTTTCTCTCATGATAAACCTCAAGATTCTTAACATACTTTTAATATAGATAATAATACTTATATTGAGAGAGAAATAGAAATCTAATTTCATATTTTAATTTGATAATGCAAGATAAATAAGAATAATTTTGTAATATGCGTAAAAATGTCCTTTTTAACTTTTACAGAGTATCCTACTTAATTAACATTTCGGTAAATAAAGATTTGTATAAAAATGTTGGAATCATATGTGAAACTTGAATATAGGTAACAATTCTTTCTACAGATTAGAACAAGAGTCACTCATTATTTATTGAATAGCACAGCTTTATTTTTGCGGCTCATTGAACGTATACAATGAGCTCAATTAGTGAGTTAATTGAATCTGGGTAGGTGGGAAACGGCACGAAGTCGTTGTCCAAAGGTGTGTGCTTAGCCTGCATGCCGGACGTCGTCTCGATTGCTGTGTAGAAACAGCGACACCTCTATTTTTAACTCTAAGACTATAGTGTGGTCGACGGTCGTAGAAAAATATACGAAAACAGTAGGACGGACGTTACTGGAAGGGCGGAATGTGTTTATTCGGGAGAGATGGCTATAATTAATTACCGATGTCGTTGCCAATTAAGAACAAGCGTCACGATAATAATGCATACACATCACGGAGATCTGCAAAGATGTTCACTGATAGTTTATCGTTAGACAAATCCACCGTGCAAAAATATCATCATGATCTTTTTCCGGACGGAGTCCACGAAATAATTAACGAGATCTCTCCTCGTCCTTTTGCGCTCCCGTAAAATCGTACTTGCGTGAACGATAATTGCGAACCGGTTTTAATCTTCTCGCGCTGCTATAAATACCGACCGTTCATTCGCCATTTTGCCGAAACCAATTTTAGGGATTTAAGTGATTCCGATGTCTGATTGATTAATCGAGCAAAAGATTCAATTAAAACCCAGCGTCGCGCATCGCGTGCGATAAAATCGCACGAGCGAGCAACTTGGACACATAGGCGTGAAGCAATTAATTAGTTTCTAGCAGACTAATTAAAGCATAAAACGTTCGCGAAATGTCACGACGCAGCATCGTAGTCGGCGCCATTATTTGAAGGATTTAATCGTAATCGCCTGGCTGATTTTTGTCGCGTAAACATGAGTTAAACGAGCTCACGCACAGTGCGCCGAGAGATCTCTTGATAAAGAGCACGTAAACAGAGATTGTGTGTAAATCAGTAACGGCGTGTATTAATATGAAACTTACGTAGACGCAAAATGTTAAACGCATCTCAGAGATTCGTTGGCGAATCTGTCGCAAATGTGTTGCACTAGCGTTGTAAAAGTGTTCATAGTTAATATCAATATTACATGTAATGTTTATATTATTTATGTATTTTCATACGATATGTGTATTAATAAAGTAAAAGATATCAGTATAACATAGATATAATTAACAAAGAAACCTGGCGAAAGGTTTATTACAAAATTAACTACGTTTCGACCATCCGGACTGTGGTCTTTATCAAGTTAGAGCGTGGGTCTTCTGGCTATTATAATCTTACAATTGCTAGTTAAAACTCCGTAGGTACAATAATGTTATATAATGTAATTTTATGCAGAAACCTAATAGCGAGGAATGTATTACACAGCATGTCCATAACGTGTTAAGACCAAAAATAAAACTCATAGATATAATTAATTTAATATAAATTCATTAATAATTATACAGTTCAGGTTAAAAAAATAGCGTTGTAATTACTTTAATAACTGAAAATTTGATATTATACATACATGTAAAAATATGCGTGTTCTTAAACAGTTGACGGTTTAAATTTTAGATTATTCTATCACGAAATTGAACATTAAACACATTTGTTGAAATGTGTAAATTCTTCTTGGCAGAGAATCGTTAAATGCTTGTTACAGGTAATTGTATAATAATAATTATCACTATCAACGCGAATTGCAGTTATAAGTTGTGACTTTTGTAAATCGCGCAGCTTGTAAAACAAAAATAATTAGCTTGGGAAGAGGCAGCATGCACTTTCGTCGGGCGTTAATTAGTACGTCACATTAATTGCTTGAATCTTCTCGTCACTTTTAGTCAATTCGTTGTTTATTCGGTCAGCGATCCATATTATTAATTAAATAGAGTATAATCGTTTAATAAACGATAGAAAAACTATAAAAAAAGTCATAATTATAAATAAATAGATGCTGCAATAAGTAACTAGTCGAATCGACATAATTTCTAAATGGATTGTTTTTCCAAAATCTAAAAATAAATAAAAAAGATCGTAAAAATTTATCACTGCTGTATTTCACAGACTAGTTCAAATTTTGACAACAACGGTATACATTGTCGAAACAAGAAATATACGCGATATGTTGCCATTCACACGCGCGCGCAATATCGTTCATCCATCAATTGTTTGTTGCGTCACATAAGCAGGGATACTACGTAGCGTTTCACTAATCGGGTAGATAACGATAGTAACTATTTGAATCGTGTATTTAGGATTGTGCAATTCGACGAAATATT